TGATATGAATGACGAATCTAGTATCTGATCATTTTACAATATCAATTGAGACATTCGTTAATTTCATCAATCAATGATTTTTTTAACAGGAAGAATTTTTTGAAGATATGCATATTTGTCTTTGTAATATTAATTGACAATCGACATTAAAAAAGCGTTTAATTTTAATAAAGGTTTGTTCGAAGAATGGTAATATCGTCGACATTCTTGAAGAAGTAAACGATAATGAACGAAAAGTTTAGCAAAAAAAGATTATGGGAAAGAATATTTGAATCGCATAAAAACGATCCATGATAAGAATTAAGAGTATTTACAATTTGCATTTTTATTGATATTCAAAGGTACATTCAATGTATATAAAATACTTAGTAGATGATTAATTGATTCATTAGTAACAGGATTTTGTCGTATCATGCTTTGTTCGTTGAATATTTCAGTTGAGAACAACGCCTAGAGAAAAATGAAAACATTTTTTTGAGGATAATTTATTTTACTGAATTGTTGTTCTTCATTAACAACTATAACATTGATAAATAAAAATGTTACTTATTGTAAAATAGATATTCTAAAAATATGAATATTTTGATTGGGTCAATACTATCTGTTTTTTTTTGTTTTAGATGTTGTTAATAATAATTAAAATATTTTGTAACGGATATACAATTCTTTTTTAAAAGAATCTTAATTTTTTGAAAAACTTAACAAGCTACGAAACATATTATAGTCTAATATAAACGATGCCGAAAGTAACTTCATTATCGCATCGTACAAGACTCTAAATAATTCACTATTACAAATACCTTCGGGAAACGACTAACTTGAAAAAAAAACTGATTATTATTGTTTTACTTTGCCACGCTGTACATCGAAGCGGGAATCATTTCTTTTTCTCTTATACCTTTCGTTTATTTAGAATAAAAAAGAAAAGAACAGATATGCAAAAATACTTCTCTAGAATATATAATCGACTTCATCAAATTATTTTTTTTTCAGTGAACTATCAATAACCAACAGAAGATTTATAACGTATTTAGCAAAAGCTCCGCTAGAAGAACTAATTAAAGATTGATCAATCATATATTTGTTGAAAAAGATATTATATTCCTTATTCTTAAACAAATATTCCTTCTTTAATTATGCATTGAAAATATTTTTCTTTATTCTATAAGTTAAATAGTCTTGAACTATCTCCTGATAGATTTAATTCGATGTCCATGTTCTGTATGAATGAGATAACGTATGAGATTTGATTCAATTTTTAATAAATGAGAATATATGTAGTAGTTTTTTATGCATATGGGAGTTTTCAATTATGATCGACCGAATACCATGAAATATTTAAACAGATATTACAAGTCAAAAAGCAAGCAAAACAAAACGAAAATTATATAGTCTTTATAATATCATAAGTGATAACATCATAATCATATACACCATGAATGATATTACCATATAAATCTATGAGAATGTTTTACAATAATTCAATGTAGTACCATTATATATTGTATAAGATCGAAAACTTTCATATAAATTATAAATTTATTATTAAAAACGTCGACATTTCGTTTCATTTATTAGATATTGAATTAAATTCCATGTACTATCGCATTCATGTATAATTATCATAAATTTAAGTAGAACTTACAACATGAGTTATATAGGTATTTGGAATAAATTTCATTGAGGTATGGATGTAAATGAAGAGAAGATAAACACGCACACCCACGAATACCAATATACGAAAAGAGAAGAGAGCAAAAAGAAGATATGTGTCGAAGACAACTTATTTTAATTGTGTTTTCATTTATAATGATAAGCAGTTCTCATCGAATTTTTATTATTATAATATTGCATAAAAATTGATCAACTAACACAAAAATATTTCATTAATTATTTTTAATATCACTCATTATAAGAAAGTTTCTTCACGGTTTGTAAACAGGTATAAAATAATATCGCCACGACTCCGACATTCATCTCAGTAGTATAATATTTGTGTAATTAGCCGAACTGATAAATATGCTATTGAATTTTGCATCTTCAGAAATCATATGACAAATATAAAGTTCCATGATACAGGCTGGAGCGCAAGATTTTTAGAAGTATTCTGTCCCATGGTGCATAAGATTTTCGATGTTGTTCCATTCTACATGAGATTAAACATTTTGAAATATATTCCGTCCCACAAGACTATTTTTTCTGTTTCTCATTATCCCATGACGAAAATTAGGACAAATACAAGTACAGTAAGTAAAGTATTCTACTGGTACTTAAGTACGAAAATGTAATTACTTTGTAATATCACTTGATTTATAAATACAATATGACATCCGTAATGTTTGTTACGATGTGAGTTGTTGGAGTATGAGCATAGTCGTGGGTGTGCGGGTGGACTTGCAAAAGTAATCTGAAGCTACACTCATAGCGATAATCATGATCACACCCACACCCTTCTTCAAAGCAAATTGTTCCTGGTGCACCTCAAAAATACTAATAATCGTAGAAACAAGAAAATTAAGCCATTTTACAAGTCATCTATCATTAAAGTTGACCAATTTCTTTGGTGTCATCGGAACATATCAGAATGAGTGTTTATAAAGTTAAAGTTAAACATCTGAAGGATTCCACAGTCATAGTAACGATAGAAATAAATTTCGAAGATAATAATTCATATCATTTTTCACATCGAAGAAAAACAATTTTTATTTAGTAGCTAAAAGTCCTACCATTTCTACTATGTGGATGAACTTGGTCTTTAAAAATAAAAGCTTACTTCATATTGGAGCTAAATGAATTTGTTAAATGATCAGGACTTTTAAGACATTCTGCATATATGTATGTATGCTTAACTTGTCACTATATGAATAAGTCTTGTCTCAAAGAGATCGTTATGCATGGATAGGTGTGCGTGTGCTTGTGTAGAGTATGGGTGCAAGTTATTTCTCTTCAATCACCATCATCCACATCTCACTCTGATGAATATAAATGAAACGTTAAAGAAAATGCATTTTATCATCGACAATAATTGAAAAATTTAGTAAAAATATCGAATATAAATTACATAATAATATTTTTGATATTGCATAAAACTAAATATAACTAAATGCATATTGTAGAAATCTCTTCAGACTTTACCTACAAATATCAATATATCTTTCGACATTCAAATGTTAATTAGAAGAGTAATGATGCAACTTCTAAATATATTGCAATTGTTTATAAATCATCCAAGTCACATAATAAGGTGATAGCATAACAATGGCTTCTTTATTTGTGAAATGACATGTGTGACAAAGATTCAGCGTTCATTAGTTTATGTTAAAAGACGCTTTACTATAGATTGGTTTTCTTTTTCACTTACGCAATGTCATCGTCATTCCCCCATTACAAAAAAGAACGACTTTGCCTTCCATCTATTTTCGCCAACAAACATCATCGCCAGTCCGCGAAAGTTGTCGTTCTCGGAAGAAATACTCAAACAACCATATTTTTTCTTTCTCTACGTGCGCTTGATAAAAAAACGTGCATACGCATAATCACCAAGTCGTTTGATTTTTCGTTAAAAGTAAAGAAACAGCATACAATCGCTTACTTTCAGACAATCAAAGCAATTGAAAATCAAACAACAACTATTACAATATTTTTTTGATAAAAAGTAAGTATTGATATGTGCCACAAAAAAAGTACAATATATTCGTATTCAACTTCTACTACATTTGATTCTCTCTTTATCTTGATTTTTATTAATCAGGTAATTTAACAAACCTAAGTGTCCCGAAGGCAGGAGATGTATGGTAATGAATGGCTTCAATACCATTTCAAATTTTTTTTACGATATAAACTCTTTAGCAGCAAAATGAAGTCTATCAATCGCGAAAAATTCACAAGTAACTTAAATATAAGAACTAGAAAGAAGAATTCAAGAATAGAAATAAAAGTCTCATTGTATACCTTAGAAGCCCATCGTAGTGACGATAAAACTGGAAGTATTAGAGGTTCAAACAGGTTCGCAAATAGTAAGTCCGAACTGCCCATCACATATTATGAACCTCTTTAGTCTGCCTATATTTGTCATCTGTTTTCATTGGCCTAGCTTATTTGCTTGCGTGCCTATCCTATCATGGCCTTGCATAGTCTTTATATACTAGTATTATAGTGATATTTGACTCATAGGAGAGCATCACAGGCTAGTGATATTTGACCGGAATACAGCGTACGGATTCATGGATCGAGTTTTTTCGGTTTCGATAGAAATCACCTATAATTGGGGAGTAGTAATCAGCGGATATGATCATCGTATTCTTACTTCCGAATTCGTACGTTTTTTTTGTGTTTTTTGGACTGAAAACGAATGCCAGTATTATTGACATGAGACTGCTCTTATAAAACGACACGGAAGTCATGTATATCGCAATAAAACGAATAAAGAAAACATGAATATTTAGAAAAAATAAGGCACGTAGGCGGTCTGTCTATTTTGAATGGCCTATCTAGCCTGTCCCATGCTCTGAACATCATATTCAAATGACCAACGTTGTCTTTTTTTAGTGCATCCTTTTTAGTTCATTGTTGTGTCTCTCATCCATTGCGTAATGAGCCCTATATGCTATACAAACGTAATTTGTTGTATGTTTTAGTTTTTGATGATTGATATGATTGTAGAGTTTTTACATAAAATAATTTTACTTCTTATCATTCCTAGAGTGATGGCAACATCAAATCGTTGTTCAATATGTCGAAAACGTGCAGGAACCTGCTTTTGCCCTGGATGCAAAGCATACTTTTGCGATGATGATTTCCATAGTCATCGTGGATTATTACTCAATGAGTTAGATGGGCTTACGGTAGATCGAAATGAACTTCAAGCAAAAATCAACGAGGCCGCTTCAAACAAAAGGTCTGCCAATCAGTTTCTTGCACAAATTGATGAGTGGCAACAAAAAACCATTGAGAAGGTAAAAGAAGCTGCTGCATTGGTTCGGCAGCAGGTCTCCAAAATAATGAATTTCAAACTGGAAGAAATTACAGGACAGTTTCAAACACTGTCACAAGAATTACAAGAACTCCGAGAATCAAAAGGTGTTGTTGAACAGGATTTAACAAGATTGAAAGAAGAAATTCGTCGACTCAATGAAGATTTAGAACAAGTAGCTCAATCACCAGCAATCAAACTAAATACGAAACAGAGTGATCAAATCGTATGGCAACGCATGATATATGCCGAGGAAAACTCTGTAAATCTTGTTAATCAAACGCGTCAAACAAAACCAATAGGTGAGTACCAATAGAAACTGTAACAAAAGAAATTTAAATATTGTTTATTTTACTAAATAACAAATCATAAACTTGTTTTCATTCGATCACAATGAGTGAAATTAGGAGCAGAGAGAAAAGTGATCATTTTAGCGTGGAAAGTAGATAGAGCAAGACTGTATTAGTCTACAAGATGTGACATGAACATAGCAGATTTAGCTTTCTTTAACACTTCGTAAAAACATCTTAAACATGTAAATGCTTTCGATAATGACACAGATCTAAATTATGTTTGATCTTTTGTACAATATTCGAGACAGGCATTACTCATAAAATTTTTCTACACTTTCGTCTACAAGAACACAATATCATGATAAAATCAATATAAGAATCTTGGGACTATGCAAAATATGAGTAAAAACGTCTCTAGTCAGGTATTACGTGATATATTATATATTGTGAAAAAATGATTCAAGCAATATTATGTATTAGATGCAGCATCTAAATTACTATATTTCTCTGTTCTAGAGCCGAAATCTGAATCAAGATATAATGGTAAGTTTATTGCATCTTTGTGCTGTATGTAATCAGTGGCAGAACCAGACGAGGGTTAGAGAGCTTCAGCTCCTCTAGGAACTTTCGAGCTCCCTGGCGAAATCTTTCAAACATGGTTTCGTGCACCAAGAGGACTCAACTTCTATTTTTGGACTTTTGAGCTCATCTAATGAGATTTTTGAAGTATGCATTTTATTAACCAGAGGACTCAGCCTCCCTAGTCCCAAATTCTGGCTCCGCTACTGTATGTAACTGTCATAGAAATCAGTCATACTAATCTTTACTAACATCTTGAAATGGATAGGCTTCGAGCAGAAAAATATATTTATATGACGACCAACACCTGTTTTAAATGTTGTTTGAAAGTTTTAATGGTACCTGAAAAAAATCATCACATGAAAGTTCAATAAACCTCATTGAGATGTAGTGCGCCAGTTCTTTCAGAATCAACCAGCTTTTAAATGGTTAGAGTAACTCGATGATGATCCAGTTAGATACGCGAAAAAAGTTACCAACTATAATTTCGGTGAACTCTTTTAAGCATTTCACGATTCAGAGTCTATAGTCAAACCAGTTTCTGGTTGAACGGCCAGGTTCTAATAGATTCTTACATAGTGCGTATTTTCATTTAGTGAACTTTGAGAGACTCGAGCAGAACTGTTTTAGACGTTATCAACTTTCAAACGATCAACCATATACATGCACCAATTACTCATAGAAATTATATATCCTACTTATTAACTCAAAAGTGAGCAGCCTGATGAAAAGCAGAATATAGCAATCTATACAGAACTTGGAAGAAAGCTGAGATTTACATTTGCTAACTAGTAAATTTTCTTCCCGATAGGATATGTTTAACTGACCTTGAGTGCGAGAGTTCAGAGTATTAAGAACTTTTAAGTAGTGCACTTATAGAGATATTATCAAAAATCAGAAATCATTCTCAAGCGAAAGACTTAACTTAAAGGAAATCAATTCATACCGAAGTGGCTCAGATTCTGTTATTTCTTGAAAATTTTTGGACAGTAGTCAGTCTAAACGAAAACTTAAAAACTATTCTTCCTTTGTGTCCGTTGATCAGAACGACATCAACTGTCTGCATCAATGTTGGTACTTCCGTATATAACACTTTCATGAAATTTCTTTAATTTGTTTTACCTATTTTTTATCGAATAAGTTTCCCGTATCATTAGTTTCTGCTATCAAGATAAAATAAGGTGTTTGTTCATTTAGAAGAGCTAGAGCCAACGGCGTCCATTGTAACGACAGAACTTCCGTGTAATGGTCATGCTTGTCCGAAATGTCATGGCTGTTCATTTTTTATGCAACATCTTATTAACTCATCACATCAAATCATAAGCTTGATTTCACTGAAATTAGTGAGCAGGCTTCTGGCAAATGTTCTTAGGAGCTGCCATCAAACATGCAATTAACAACCACTCTTATAGTCTGAAAATGTTGTTTACAGTGAATGAAATAGTTTTACATCATGCTGATTTTCATCATTCACTGTGAACTGACTTTCATTACTCAAATATCTCGCAACATTTAATTTGGCAGACCAAATAAATCCGAATATAACCGTTGGTAAATGTATATAAAATGTTTATACGCTCTTTAATAGCGTTGTGATTTCTAATATTCATTCAGAATCAAATCAATAGATGAACAGAACTATGTTGAGAAATATTCATTTGTGATGTGATCTTGGATCATCTGATGAATATTTCTTTCTTCTCTTCGAAATCAAATCAATAGACGAACAAAACTATGATGAGAAGTATTCATTTGTGATGTGATCTTGGATCATCTGATGAATCTTTTTTTCTTCTCTTCGAAATCAAATCAATAGATGAACAGAACTATCGTGAGAAATATTGATTTGTGATGTGATCTTGGATCATCTGATGAATCTTTCTTTCTTCTCTTCGAAATCAAATCAATAGCTGAATGTAATCATTGGAGAATAGTCATTCATTTGTGATGTGATCTTGGATCATCTGATGAATCGTTCTTTCTTCTCTTCGAAATCAAATCAATACGGGAACGTACTTATTGGAAGGCAATCATTTATTTGACTGGCGATGTTTGCGCAGTGATTCACTAGAAAGTTTTTCTTTGCGGACCTCAAAGAACATAGACTGGGCACGCGTATAGTGTGTTCTTAAATGTTTTATTTTTTAATCCATCTCTCATGCTAAAATCTTAATAATAAAGTCAAGCGTAATAGTTGAATCGAAGACTTGTTAAGAGTATTTATTTGTTACGTAATATTGTATCTGTTTTTGAGATCAAAGTTTTGACATTTATGAGTAGAAATCAAAAGAATGTAATGATGATAAAAATAGTTCATTTTCGCTCTGGTTTTTCGTCAATTTCATAACTCTAACTGCCTTTTTGGAAAGGAAACAATATATTTGATAATAACAATGGTAGAAGAAGTTCGTAAAGCATGAAATCTTTGACAATCTGCTCAAACCAATAGTTTTTCAAGAGAAATGAACTAAATAGAAGAGCATAACCATGCAACTTGTCATTCAAGAGATCTCTTTATCATGTAATTCTCTATCAAATAACGATTCATGTTTTCCTGCCTTCCAAATGGAATAAGTACGTGAACAGTACTCTCGTGAAAAATATTCATTGGTGTTTTGATTTTGGATCATCTGATGAATCTTTCTTTCTTCTCTTCGAAATCAAATCAATAGACGAACAGAACTATGATAAAAAATATTCATCTGTGATGTGATCTTGGATCATCTGATGAATCTTTCTTTCTTCTCTTCGAAATCAAATCAATAGATGAACAAAACTATGATGAGAAGTATTCATTTGTGATGTGATCTTGGATCATCTGATGAATCTTTTTTTCTTCTCTTCGAAATCAAATCAATAGACGAACAGTACTCTCGTGAAAAATATTCATTGGTGTTTTGATTTTGGATCATCTGATGAATCTTTCTTTCTTCTCCTCGAAATCAAATCAATAGATGAACAGAACTATGGTGAGTAATATTCATTTGTGATGTGATCTTGGATCATCTGGTGAATCTTTCTTTCTTCTCTTCGAAATAAAATCAATAGATGAACAGAACTATCTTGAGAAATATTCATTTGTGATGTGATCTTGGATCATCTGATGAATCT